TTACGCGGGTAGCTTCCAGGCATAACTTAGTCAAACCAAACGATTCGCATGAGATTTTCCAACGAACGCAGGGACCTGAGGGATGACCTAGTGACGTCACTAGGTGCGGTGTACGCCGCCGGCCGGAGACGACTGTAAGTGTGGGCTGGGGCGGCGGCGCACGCCTGGCCGGTCTCAGCTGGTGGGTCGCGAGACTGGGCCGTGGGTCGTTGGTTCGCTGGCGGTGAGGACTGCTCAATTTTCTCAGGCGGAGGCACTTAGATTCAAGCGTTCCGCTTTTACGCCAATCCAACCAACATATCATGTCATGCTACATCCTGCTCATAACCGGAAATAAACAACAAGCAGCGGAACCGAAAACAGACCTCCAACCGAGGCATTAGTATTTGCAAGACAAAGACGGCCAACTGCCGACGACTGCGCGAGTCGTGACTGAAGGACGGTACAGAATAACTTTCCACTATCTACTGCAGCTAAGTCGCCTCCCTTTCGACCTACTTCACACACGCACGAGGAAAATATTTTTCCCTCAAGCGTAGCGGAAAAGATTCGAGCCATGTCGTGTTAATCTAGCGTTTCCACCGTTGCGGCAGTGGCGCTTCGCCTCTCACATAAGTGTCGGCGAGGAAATCTGTGGGCAAAGTTGCGGGACATTTTGGCGTTTGGAGTGGCGGCTGGTTCGCCGGCAGCGACGCCGACACCCCCTCCCCCTCCAGCGGGGGTGTCGTCGAAGCCGACGGCGGGCGCCACACCGCATGAGACGCCCGGGCGCTTAGTACGGCCCACCCGAGTGACGGTCCAACCAGCGCCAGCCAGGGACTCCACGGGCTGACGAGGGGGTAAGGGAGGCCCGAAACGTTCAACGGAGTCAATAATTCCATAATTCAAAACTATACAGGTTAGAGAGACTGAGTGGTGTGCCTGGAGGCATATGACCAAGAAAGAAAAACGCGGCATACAACGGTATTCCGGTATCACCTCGTTGATGATTAGATTTTTGCAGGCACGTGTTTGCGGAACAGCGCGAAGCCCCAGCGCCCTTACGCGTGCGTCACTGGCGGCTGACCTCGCACGACCGACGGGTCAGAAGGTCAGAGTCTGCGGGGCGGAGGCCGGGCCAGCAGCCGCAGCGTCTGTGTCTTCTCGAGATGGCCCATCGAAGGGGGCGGGGGCTCGTCTCTCGGAGAGATAATGCAGATCTGATAGCTTCATTGGAAGATAACTCCATCTGGAGATGAATAGCTTTGGCTGGCTTTCGAATTCATCGCTGGGCACGGGAAGCGGGGGCGATTGGTGCAGCGGTCCGGAGCCCAGTGATCGAAATCCTCTGCTGCTGCCGGTATTTGCTTACGCATACGCAGGAACATCAGAAAAGAGTAATGATCTCCGTCCGACCGTCATACCATTTTTAATGATCGTGGTCCTTGTACAATGCCCTTCATTCCTCCTAGATGTTGCACATTAAGGTGTTATGCTATGATTATGGGTGCATAGTTTTTCAGTTAGTTTTCCCGCTCGCCCGTTCGTCTTACTGCCAGACAGACCTTGCAGCCCGGCCCTCCCAACTTGACAGAGCCCTCTCAGATTAGATGCGCTGCTCAAGTAAATCCTAACAATTCGAGAACAAAATGCACTGTGAGGTGATATTTGGATTCCGCCAGGCCAAACCAAGTACCTTCTGCAAACTGAAATGCATGAAATCCGATGAGAAACTAGCATTAGGGGCACCCTAAGCTGATTGACCCGCGGCAAAGCTCCCATCCCAATTCATTTCGAGCATCAATACTCTTGAATGATGCCTTTCTTAACGCCGAGATGCTATTGTGGATATCTGGGTTGCGCACACAAGGCTGACTTGAAACGTCACGCTTACGAGCGGTCACCACGCAGGTAATGAGCACAGTGCAACAAGAGAAGCCTGCCAGTCGCCACAGGACGCGGCCAGTAACTGCCGTCAGTCACTGCCGCCAGTCACTGCCGCGCCAGTCGGTCACTGCAGATGGGTGGCCGGCTCTTCTGGCCCGACCCGCCAGACCGTGGGGCAATGCGGTACAGCCTACCTAACCACCACGCCCGCATGTAAACAGCGCCTCATCAGTCCGTGCTCACGGCCCCGCGAACTGCGCTCTGCTCCACCCTGTCTCGGTCTTGCGTCCGGGTCACGCGCTCCGGGCTTTCCGCCTGGTGTCGCGCCCTCTGCCGTTGGGCTCTCCGCTCGGCACGCCGCATTCGCCGCCACCAAGAGCTTGGCGCGCCACGTTCGCCGCCACCAAGAGCTTGGCGCGCCACGTTCGCCCCCGCCGAGAGCCTGGCGAGTCACGTTCGCCGCCACCGACAGCTCGGCGCGCCGCCTCCGACAGCTCGGCGCACCGCCTCCGACAGCTCGGCGCACCACCCTTCGATCCCGTCGCGCTAACCGGGCGCCGATAGCGCATGCAAATCAGCTGGCGGCTGCGGCCGACGCGCCTACTAATCTATGAATGGCCCAATTACCGGCGCGACACAGTGCCCATAATCGGAGCCACTTCTGCTCCACTGGGTGGCGCGGGGGCAGGGCGCGGCAGAGTGAAGTGACTGCTCAATATGCTGCGCTAAAGGCCGAGGCAAACGTCGCTATGGAGGCTGAGATGGAGTCGTTATAGTGATATGATGTAATTAACACACCAAGCCGACATAATGAGGAATGATGAAAACTTGGGCAAAGAAATTGAACAAAATGAGGAATGATGAAAACTTGGGCAAAGAAATTGAACAAAGTTTACGCCAATGGTTTGTTAAGGATAGTACTTAACTCGGCTCGTGTCCTGTCATGCTTTTCATGTGCACGCACGAATGTTCGTACATCAATGCAAAGCACGAATGTTCATACATCAGTGCAAAGCACGAATGTTCGTACATCAATGCCAAGTTGAACAGTCTATTGTCCTCCACTTTTTGACCCTGCAAGTCGCCAGTGATCGATAAACTTGACGCGTTGACTGAGGCAGAAGCCACGCGGGAATTTGTTGGCCCCGCGCGACAAAGCAGAGGGGAGTGGAGATATTTTTCCGTCGCCAAACAATGTGTGAAAAGAATCGTTTTCTTTGATGCCTCTCGCAAAAAGCTCTCCATGTGGCGGCCCGGCGACGCTTTTGTTCGGGCTGGCCTGTCGTACGCGCCGGAGCGCCGGAAAGAAGTTCCCATCAGAGGCGAAAACACAGACGCTGCTTTCGGCGGGCATCAGCCACCGACGATCCCGCGAGATGGCGTCCTAAAGTACACTCATTTTACTCATCTGCCTTCAAATGATTTAAAAGGATTGCGAAAACATGTTCTGGTCGAAAGTTTTTCAAATATCCTAGCTAATCCAGCATGCGTGATTTGCGGCTCATAAAAAAGACATTTCGGCAGTAAACAGCCGGCGGATGCCTAGCGTGCCGTGCACCTCCAAACAGCCTCCACAACCTCAATAATACGCTCGCTCGTCGCAGACGGGGAACTTTGCGCCCCAGGAAACTAAATAAGACTTGGAGAAAGCAGGCCACCACGAAAAAAACGTTATCAGATTTGGACCACGACTTTGATGAGTTAAGAGGAGCGTCCCACGAC